CCAAATTCACAATTCATTTTGAATGACTAGATGTAAAATAAAACTCCCAAGTGGTCAAGTAAATATTGAAATAAACCCAGTAATCCCCCCTTATATGTGTTCAAAAACAAAATGACCACTTCATAAGTTTATTGCAAAAATACTTTACAAATAAAATATGTTTAATTTCCTTTTTAATGTACAAAAATATAGATAAAAGATATAAAATTATCTTTATTTCTTTCCTTATTAGATATATAAGTGATAATAATAACGCAATATAATCAATAAAAGATGAAGTAAGAATTTTCATTATAATATATTTTCAACGATCTTCATCTTTAAAGGGACTCAACTGCATTTTTTTTACATAAAAGAACTGGGAATATTTGTTTAAGATTTTTACACCATTTGATGTAGGTCTATACTATTATCTTTCATGCGAAATTCCAGATCTTTCGCTCACACAGTTTTTGCAGAATAATTTTTAATCATACAAGATCACCTGAACATAAAAAGTATTAAACCATTTAAACTGAAAACAGACTTAGAGTCGCACTAATTAAATTTTTAGCATATTTCTTATTCATCTTTTAAATATTTTTCTATTTTAATTGCCCCAGTATGTAGTAAAGTTATGTTAATTTTTCAAATTTCATGTTTTTAGGCATCTAGCTTGACCTCAATGGAGTTTTTTTTAATTTTCTAAGAAAAAAAAAAATCACAAAAAGCTTATTGTATCAAGCATTATAATAACTGTGACAAAAGTTAATGAATAGGAAAATAATTTTGCATTTATTTAGTACCGGAGATGACAGTAAATGCCGTATGTTGGTGAGAAGAAGACATTGTTATGATACAAAAGAGATTATCAAGAGATTAATCAGATTATCTTAATTGCTAACAGCTCATACACAACATGTTTTTGCACAATACCTGACAGAAATAGATGGGTGCGGTAAAAATATTACATTCAAATATGACAGATTATGACACACTGTGCAATGATGCTGATGTCAACTTTTGTTTTTTCATATAATACCAAATGTACTTTTATATATAATAAAAGCAAAGCTAAGAGCATTGTTTTTTTTCTGGAAATAAGCACTGGGGAATGGAGGATGAATCAACCAAAATATCTATGATAGTAACATTGAATACACTTAGAAAATTCTTTTTCATTATGAAATTTTTCACATTTAAATGAAAAAGTTTAAAGCAAAAAGCAAAATTTTTTCGGGCCCGTTTCTTTTCCTATCAAAAAAAATTAAAATTTAAAAACAAAAAAAAATATTTTCAAAAAATAAAAGAAGAATGGGTAAAAAAGAAATTTTAAAAAAAAAGGGGTTATCTTTAAACCGGGAAAATAAAAACAAAGTAAATTAAAGCTCCCATAAAAGGGCAAAAAATTCTCAAAAAAAACCCAAAGACAGATGAAAAAAAGGAAAATCCCAATATGTACCCAAAAAAACCCCCCAAAGAAAAAACTGAGAAAAAAAAAATTCTGAACCAGAAAAAAATTTTAAATTCAAATTTTTAAATGTTAAATTTTCTCAAGCTTTTCCCAACTTTTAATTTTTGTTGTCTTTTCAAATTTTTTTTTGGACTATTTAAACCATTCATTAATATTCTGACAGCGGCTATAGTTTATTAACTGACTCCACTATGCAGTGCGAGACTATTTATTGGACTTAATTGGATTTTCAAGAAACCATATATTTGATCAATTAAAGATCTTGCTCTAGGCTCACTTATCAACAACAGCGCATAGTTACTGCTATGGGTGTTTAACACATAAATCAATTACCACCACCATGTCCTTTTACACATGTATGACAATCAGGTATGATGACAATGGCTGGACATCAGATGACCTATTACTGCCCCCAACATGGACACTGTCTCATTGCTGTACTGGACATCTCTCTATTGTTGTGGTCAAAATTTATGTCCCTATAAAATCTACATTAACCCCTTATAAAGGTATTTCTGACCTTTATCATGAACAAATCAGTATGACTTCTATAATTTCTATCATTGCATCACAGTTCTGTGACAAGAGTTACTATTCTAATCATACAAAAAAAAACTCCCAAAAAACATGTGTTCCTAAGTGAATTTACCACATAAATCTTAATTGAAGAACTAATAAATTACAATATTTTATATCTTTGGATGCTTATTTGATTTTAAAATGACCCTTATGAAATTGAATTTCTCTTTAGAACATTTTCTGTAGACTGGTAGTTACAAATCTACATCAAATGAAATGGCAGTAAAAACATGAATAACCTTAGCAAGGAGAGAGAATTAGTTGAATATATCAAACAAGAAAACAGGTTATTTTATCAACATTAAAAAAGAGCAGTACCGCCAAACTCTTGATTCAAATGATGCATTCAGCTAAAACGGCCATTTCAGATGTTTTCCATACAATATTCAAGAAGAATTTCAACCTATGATGCATATCAAAGAGTCATTTATAAAACAAGCCAGTATGTGTGGATGTAAAAATGGATTTCATATGAACTACTTTAGATACTATCTGCCCATTCAACTTTGAAAAGCACATGTATGCATTAATGAGGTTTTGAAAGAAGAACGATAAAAACCTTTTTTTTGATGTAGCTCTGAGGGAGTGTAGATGTTTTCAGAAGTAGGAATTCAACTAAAGCTTATCAATTGGCACAAGAAAGAGCATTTGCAAGTGAAAGCAGCCAAATTCAATCTATCAGAGCAATGATCATTTTCCAACAATTTTCAACACTGCCAATGCAGGTTTCAAAACTGATTTTCATTTTTTTTTTCTCTGCAGTAATTTTCTCTTTTTAATGTTGGATAAAAAAAGGCATATATATAGATGATTTAAACTGACTGAGAAATAAAATATTATTTGTAATAATGAAAATTTACGTCAAGTTCTAGGATTTAATTTGTACTTTTAAAGTTATTGAGAGTATTTAAAGGAACAAAGTCGTGATTCAATAATTATTAATCAATATTATAATTGCTTCAATTAGCTGACAGCATTTTGCATTCATCACAATCCTTCTTAAAGGCTAAAAGTGAAATGGAATTTTTCCAATTTCTATAAGCTGATTTCTCATTTTTCAATCTTGTGTAATATATAAGCCCTACAGGGACAATTTTCAACAGAACTTCTCCAAATAAATGTAAAACATTAAGATGAAATGCAAACACTATGACCAGGTCTGAAAGCCTTTCAAACTTATTGAACAAACACCCCTACCAGTAAGATAAACAAAATACTACATCAAGGAACAAAATATGGTTTTATGAAATATTTACACTTTTATCACTAAAGAATAGAGAGGGGATTTAGCTAGGATAAAGAAAGAACAAAAAAACACCTAAAATTCCACCCAAAAAAACCAAATTTAAAATTTCATACGGGACTAAATCTAAAAAGAATGAAATATTTGTTTTGGGCGTTTGGAGTATTTAAATTAATTCTCGTTTCATGTTTTGGCCAAGAAATACACACTCAAAATCCCAACATAGTTTTCTGATTTTGTCAAATTCGTCTTCCGTGGGAAAGTTATTTTTTTTGACATAATTTGAACAATTTAGGATTTTAGGGCAATTTGGGGCCCCAAAATAAATGTTTCTTTTTGTAACCCGATACCTTCCGTTGGGGTTTTAAAAGTTTAATGGGGCCCAAAATTGGAAAACCTTTGGTTGAATTGCTAGGTTTAGCCATCTTCAATGTCTATTATATTACATCAATTTAGTGCTGGTTATTTTACAAAATGGTTTCCTGTTTCAGAATTAGACACATTATATTAAGATCTGCACTGAAGATAAAATAACATTCTTGCATGATAGAAAATTAAAACCTTTCAAAACAATTGTCTAGATTTGAACAAAAAAGACATACTGACATCTGAAAATAAGGCTACATGCAATGTGCAGCGTTATAAAGCAGTCGCTTGAACAGTAAAATACCTACAGAGTCATAAACACGTGTATATGTATATATATATGTATGTAAACTTTGTACTGTAATTGTCACACACACCTGTCTCATAATTTATACAAATATTACACTGGAGCAGAATATAGAATTTTCAAAGACAATTCGTCATCTAATATGCCCTAAGGTTGATTATAATCATAACAGACACCATGAAACAATCTTTCATTCACCTGCCACCACAATTATTTCAAAAAATAAAACCTTCTGAAATTTAGTTACATATACAAAAGATTCCAAAGCAAATTAAAGAAGACCGAACTTAAAAAAGAAAAACAGCATATTGATCCTCACATTGAAATATTATTTTATATATTAAATTATTTTTTATATAAAATATGCTTATTATCCAGAGGGAACCCTGACTTATAGTAGGGCACTTATAGGACATAATAAAATAAATGCCACAGTATGCATTGTTTTCTACCTTTTCCTGCAATATTTAAGCAGTTTTACTTAAACATGTCACACTAATCAGGCCAGGTAAACATTACCTACTCATACCAAACTTGCTTTATAAACACTCCAATTATCTCAAAGTTTCATTTCCATATCAGAGCTTTTATGTAGTTAAAGTATTTATATAATAAACCCATGTATCTTTAATCTTAGTTTAACTAAACAAATGCATTAGACTGAAAAGCTTTGTTTGTAGAAACAAATTAGATATGAACACTTCGCTGCATAGCCTAATTTGAGAACTGGAGACGAGGGTCTGAGCACTAAACAAACATCAATTGCAACTTATTTGGTCTTTACTTTGACAAAATTTCCAGAAATTATGTTAAATACTGTAATCATCTATTACACTGAAGCATTAAAGATGATTATAAATTATTTTAGGATAAATGATTTTAGTACAAAATGTATTCAGCTCATGAACTGACTCATGCTGGTTTATAGATTGAATAAGGTGTTGAATGTGTCATTTAAATACATTAGACATACTTGACTGATACCTTCACCTCTTGTTGTACAGATCTTAAATTTAAAAAATCTTAGAGTAGAACGTTTTTCCTTAGCTTACCTGTAAAAAGCATTCTCCAACAGCTATATTTTCTAGTACAGATGCATGGTAGAGGCTCTGGTCAAATGTCGGTTTCTTTATATTTATATACGAACAGACAATTGAACAGTAACCCACTAGAACTGCGGCGGCGGAACACCGTGATCTTTAGCTACGATTTTCCAAAAGAGGGCTGAGAATTTACTTCCACAATCAACTTGTCCCCCTTTGTTGTAACTAAATCCAGAAATTGGGATCCACTTGAAACCCAAATCAAATTTTCCCCTGCTGTTTTTTTTGGTAAGGAAAATCCTCGATTTTCACCATATCCATACTGAAGCCGCCCGAATAACTGACACTTCACTGGTTCTGACATTTTCATCTACCAGCCTCGTAAAAAGTTCTTACTGAATATAGGGGCATTGTCATTTATATCTAAAATTTGTAATAGGAAAGACTTGGAGGCTGAAAGTGGTGGGGAACCTGAATCAGCTGCAACCAGTGTCAGATTATAAACGGCCTTGCTCTCTCTATCCAGTGGCTGATCCACAAGTAGTTTAAATGTTCCACTACTTGTAGGTTCTAGTTTGAAGCGATTTTCTCCACCCTGCAGACTTACAGCTATATCTGAATTATCTGTATCTGGAGCCTCTGGATCACTGACAGATACTCTGGCAACCACAACTCCTTTTAGTGCATTTTCTGGAATTCTAGGAGTTGCATCAGAAGTAAGATAGGTAATATATATATTTGCTGGAATCTCATTAATATTCAACACTTCAATTTCAACGACAGCCCGAGATGGGTTGGTTTGATCACTAGCAATAGCTATAATTTGGTAATACTTTTTAGTTTCATAATCTAGAAGTTTGTCCAATGTAATAATACCAGAGACAGAATCTATCACAAAAACTCCATCAGGATTGCTCTTACTGTCTATAGAGTAGGTTATTTTTCCTTGATCTATCTGGTCAATATCAGTGGCTTGTACTTGAAGAACACTGGTTCCCCTTGTTGCGTTTTCAAATTTGGGTGCTGAAAATTTACTTTTATTAAATAGGCATAAATTTTCATTTTAAACATGATGGGTTTATATAATTGCATTTTTGAAATGAGAGCAAGGGGCTTTTCCCCCATCATAAACCTCCACTAACAATGTATAATGTGGCGTAGTTTCATAATCCAATGTTCCGTTCACAACTAAATCCAAAAGTACCTTCTGAGGGCCTGAATATCTGCCTTTAACATTCAATGCGTGGTCATCATTTGCAGACACAAACCTAAAGCCTTGGATGGTATTCTCACCTATGTCCTTATCTTGTACGCTTCCTAGGGAAAATATATGATGTGGTGCTCCTTCTGGAATACTTAAATATATTATATGATGGGGTGCACCATCAGGAACACTTAAATTTTTGTCCTGCAAAGAGAACACTGGGGCATTATCATTTATATCTAGAACAGTCACATTAATACATATATATCCTTCCCCTTTTTGTATTGAAAATGAAAAGGAATCATTTGTCTCCCTATCCAAGCTGCGTTTTGCTGTAATTAATCCAGTGCTGTAATTGATCTGAAAAACCTCTTTTACCCAATCTTCCAAAAAGAAAAATTCAGTATATGGCGGTCCTAAATTAGGATATCCCATAAAAGAAAGCCTTTCAGCAATGTTTCCAACTTCTGATCCTGGTGGCAGACCTTCTTTTAGCTCATACTTTAATGTTACTACAGCATTATTTGAACAGACTGCAGCAACATTTATAAGAAAGTGTGCCAACACGGCAACTATCAACTCCACTCGATTAACTCCGCACATTTTCATTCCTCTCTCAAACTGCAGGTGCATTTGATGTATTCATCAATTCCATTTGTGCTTTAATAACTCATTACAAATGTTGAATTCTTCTTTCCTGAAAATATGTGAATTCAAATTCTTTGAGATGATATCTAGCCAATATATAGATTTATAATAATAATAATCTATAATACAAAATAAATTAATAAAAACATAAATTATTTTAAAAATTATCCGCTTCATAAATCCAAAAATGAAACAGGTAAATTCGGTAAATGTTCTATTTTTAAAAACATATAAGATCAACTTTTAAACATGTAAGCCCTATACACTGATACATGTAGAACAGAACAAAATAATCACTAAAAATCAGTCTGTGTCGGACCTTTTCACAAGAACTCTGCTGTATAAACATATAATCAATAATTCAAACGAAAGATTAATACTATTCCATACCAAAATATATACTTGCACAAAAATAAGTTCCATTTACCCCTAAAATTTATTTTTATTTCACATTTTTGTAAAATCGCGGAGCACTCCGATGTCGGTGTTTACCATAACAATCTCCTTTGTAAAATGTGTACTGTACACTGATGAAAAGGATTTGATGTGTAAACGCCGAATCAGTAAGGAAAATATTTGTTATTACAAAGACATCTGTGCCCCTCATACCATATTTTCTTTATTCTATTTAAGTATAAATTATCAAATTATTGAGTAAATGAAAATAGTTGGGTCATATTTTAAGCGAACAATCAACACTAAATTTGTATACGGAAATAAAAATCTTTCCTTTCGATTTTAAAAGTCACGTGACTTACCTGGCGGTCGTTTACTTGTTCTTTTTATCTAAAGGGGTTTTTAGAAATAAATTTACAGTTGATTTCTTGTTTTTATTTTAAAAAGATATAAGGGGTGGGGGAAGAAAGGGAAAGGTTTTAAACTTTTTTGTATTTATTTTTTAAGTAAAAATTTTCTAAAAAAGCTCAGCACCTTTAAAATGTTAAATTTAAAACATGGGGGTCCATAAATTTTTTTTAACTGGGTAGTTTCATTGTAGCATTAAATTAAAATTTTTTATAACAGGGGAAATCACCCTCGCCTTTTTAAAAAAAAATTTTTGTGTTAGTATATTAATTATATTTTCGGCCGGTTAAAGTTGAATTAATTTAATCAATTAAAAGCTGGAATAATTACAAATGCGGCTGTTTCTAGTAGTATGGTTTCTAGCACGAAATCCTTTGGTTCATCAGCCCGTACCCCAAGCCCCCAGCTCCCCACTCGAAGTCCACATGAAACGGAAGGTGATCTCATTCTTCAGAATTTAAATATGGATTTTGATTATGTGATCGTGTTAAGAGGCATGCTGGACGAAAATGAGTAGAACAAGAACATACAGTTGCACGGTAACTTTATTTGTAGTATATGATTTTTTATATATCCTTGTAGGATTCTGGAATTTTAATATCATATATTTATATTCCATATTGGTATTCCGAAAACCTTTATAACTTATGATGATGATGAATAAGCAGAATTCTTCAAGTTCAGGGCTGGCTAGCCTAATTCAATATAACTTAAGATAATTCATTTGGCCTCTAGACTATTTTACAGAACTGCGTCACAGACACTTGGGATATAGAGCTCAAATCACATTCAAATTCCTAATAAAATGTATATTTGTCAATCTCAGCACAAGTTCTTATCATAATTATATCGAAAAAAAACACCTTAATATAAGCCGTTTTGAAAATTGTCATATTTCAACGTCTTTTATAATACACATGTAAGATAAGATAAGATAAGATAAGATAAGATAATCTTTATTTAAAGTCGGTTTCATAAAAACATATAAACATTAGCTATATAAGCTATTTTCCGACAAAACTTATTATCCTATAACAATTCAAACAAACAATCTGTATAAAAGAAAATATATAAAAGTATTAAGAAGATCAATGTACATTTATGAAAGACTCTGTAAAACAGTTAAGATTTATCAGCACATATAAATATGGGTAAGAAAGCATTAAATGATTAAAAGCAAATATACATTACAATCAAACATCACATAAAATTACATCATACAAGAGTTCTATTTATGTACACAACCCTAAAATCAGAAAAGGATTAGAATTTTTTTAAAAATTTAAATTTTTAAAATAAATTAAAGTAAATGATTCAATTTTATTTTATTTAAATATAGTTAACCTAATTTCAAGTATGATGCTTGAGCAAATATCAGTAGCAGCATCTGATATGTACTCAGTCATGAAACTATGGGTGTAACTAAAACATGTATAAGTATCATAATAATAAAACTTAAAATGTTGAAATGTTTGTGTAACAGATGCTGATCTGAGTTGGCCTAGATAAATTCATGGTCTAAGTTAATTACTTAATTAATTAGAACAAAAATATAAAATAAAAGTAGAAATAAAAAGGTAAAAATAGACTTAAAGAAGCTATTGTCCCCTTTATGGGATATATGAAAAGCTGATCAGCAGCTGTCACATATACAAACACTAACATGCACTGACAAATGACTATACAAATATACACACAAGAAGCACATGAAAAGCATTACATGATAAAACAGGTCTTATACAGCATTACTCTATGGCAGACAGAAATACAGGAAAAACAAAAGAAGAAACAAAAGAAGCATGCAGATTCATTTGATTCACATTTCAAAACTCAACAAAAAACATAACACTTAGGCACACATAGAACATTTGCATTTGAAGCCACTCCAGGTTTGGATAAGCCTCCGAAATTCACCGTAATCAGTTTCTGTTCTTAGTTCATTCGGAGGCTATTCCAGACCTGGGTGGCCTCATAGCGAAAGCTTTTCTTACCATAAGTCTCTGTATTTACTCTAGGAACTTCAAGTGTGTTGTTATTTCTAAAAGAGTAATAAGAGGAATTTACTTTAATTAGTTCTTGAACATATTTTGGTGATATATTTTGCAAAACATTTAAAAACTTCAATAGCTAATTGTCTTAATCTACTGATATGTAAAGTTGGCATATTAGCTTTACTTTAAAAGAAATTCATATGATGAGCTGTAATCCTCAAAAACTATCTTCAATGATCTATGTTGTAACTTTTCAAGTTTTTCAGTATTTTGTTTACTACAAAAATGCCAAACTAAAGGACAATAGTTAAAATTTGAACGAACAAAGATTTGTAGATTAACAATCTAGTATTTTGATTTAAGAATTTACTCAGTCTAGCAAGAATGTTGATTTTTTTGCAGCCTTTTGCAAATGTTAGATACATGTAAGACAAAGTTTTAGTAAAGAGTCTATTTCAACACCAAGAAGTTTTCACGCTTTTTTCACAGACAATTCTGTACTATTAAGACAAAAAGAGGTTAATTTACTAGTTGTTTGTTTTCCAATACAAATTGCCTGAAATTTGTCCGGATTGGCTTGCATTAGATTATTATCAAACCATTTTATCATAGATAAACTTTCATTTTCCAGTATAGATTGTAAAGAGTCAATATTGGTATCACAGTAAGATAATGTGTTGTCATCAGCATAATTGTACACAGTGGCTAATTTAATAAAGTAAAAGATGTCGTTAATAAAAGATGTTAAAAATAAGAGGCCCTAGAATGGATCCCTGGGGAACTCCCTTACTTATTGACATCCAGTCACTGCATGCTTTACCAAGCTTAAACCCTTTGTTTTCTATTTGACAGGTAGTTGTGCATAAGTTCTGCGGGCTGTGTCAGATAAGGCCATAGGCCTTAAGTTTCAATACGATCAAGTCATGTGGGAGACAGTCAAATGCCTTTGACAGATCCATGAGTATTGCTGCTACATACTCATGTCTATCCAAGGCATTTTTCCAGTCTTCTATTAGCCGTAAAAGAGTAGTTTGACATCCAAATTTAGATCTAAAAGCTGCCAGAAAATTATGAAAAATGTTGTCAAAGTATGAAACTAGTTGCTTATTTATTGATTGTTCAAAAATCTTCGAGAAAGTGGGCAGAATACTTACAGGCCTATAATTTTTCTTTTGAAAAGTTGACAGTAGACTTAGTCTTTAATATAAAAAAATTCAAAACGGCTTTTTGTTAATATATGATAAGTAAATTTACATATGCTGGGATGGGCAAATTAAACATTTTATAAGGAATTTAAATACTTTTTAACTCCACTGCCTTTTACAGCAGCACGAACTAGCTAAAGGGAGACCAACATTTATCTTTTTTAATTAAGAAAAATTGTAGTTATTTCCCTTGAATTGAGGTTTCTAAGATATCACGTGATCAAACTGTGGAAAGTTGTCAAGTTGTTTGTGAACGTGTTTACACTTACGAAAGTGGAGTTTGTGAAATGTAAGCAAGGTTTTTATCACTTTATACTTTATTGTGTGAAATGTTTTAATGTTGCGTTTGTGCCTATGATAAACAATGGTATAGATATCATTTTAGTTGCTAAAGTAGGGAAATGTAAGGCAAGTGCCCTTACCCCACCCATTATGTTTAGCATTATGCATCATAAAAAATTTAATTCATTGTATCGTGGACAAACAGTTCTCAAACCTCTAAGCATTCAAGAGGTCTTTTAGTGTAAATATAAATACAATTTTATTAAAATTCTTCACATATTTACACTTTAAACATTATTTGACATGTCTGTAAATTTTGGCTGAAATTCAACAATTTAAACAGACTTATTTTCATCTTGGAAAAACACAACCCTCCTTTATAAAACTGTAAGGTAAAAAGGTAAAATGCTACTGATCTAGATAATTAGACAGCAGACAAAGAAAATTAGATAAATTGCTTTGAATAATTTATACAGAGGAAATGGTCTTAAGCATGGTTTGTTTTATAAATTCAAGGATTCTAAGGAGCTTCAATGCATTCGGTCTTCTGATAAAGTTGAAAATAGAAAACAATAATTTCACATTAAATGAACTTCACTGACTACTTTTGGTAACAAAGTCCAAATCTTTACTAGCCATAAATGGTGTAATGATTTACACAACACTTCGAATCTTCACAGGTAATCAGTGATTGCAACCGTATTTGTAACCCTGGGTTGCGTTTCATGGAAAGTCATATTTAAGTATCAAATATGTCTTAAAACCAAAACTAAGACAATTTTTTTTTTACTGATATGTTAAGACTCTTTAATATCTGAATAGTGATGCAGGTGAACATTTGCAAATTGTGAATTGAAGTGCATGCCATTGTATTTTGCAACTTTGCTCAGGAGAATGAATTAAGTAAAAGTCTAAAACCTTTAGTTAAGATGAAAATGTCTACTGAAACGGTCTAAAGTTAGTCCTATAGTTTGTCATAAGTCCTAGGACTTAGAGTACACTTTGGACTTTCTATGAAATGTAGTCCTCACTCCTATCTATGTAATGAGGATGACAACTTCTTCGACTTTTAACATGGCATATTTGCTTTTCTCCTTATAACAGTCCCCCATTATGCCTATCACATAATAAAATTACACTTATTACATCAATAACGGCATATTTCATGCTGATATCATCTTGGTTAAAGTATTAGATTTTGTTATTCAAATATGAGAAAATTTCTTGATGTGCACTAGGAAAGATTCTGAAA